ATGGGGAGGTTGGTGGCCCTGCATTGGTGGGGGGTTGGAGCTTCGTGATCCTTGAGCTCCCTTCCAACCCAACCATTCTGTGATTCTGTGAACCGTACATCAAGTCTTTAAAACCCAGTGCATTCTGTGCCTTCAAGCTGGAGATTTCACTTATCTGTGAGGTGGTAACTTAGATTTCAGTGCACCTCTGATCTTAGAGAGTATTTCAATTGTGTTGTCCCTGGGTGTTCTCAGAAAATTTGTTTTCTCCAGTTACCACAACCAAATTCTCACTAGTGGAGCTTGTGCATTAGATCTGAAGGAGACCTTTATTTTCATCTGTTATGTGGGTGGGAGGATTTAGTGTGCTCACTGGCTTTTGCTGCTAGTGGGGATTGAAGTTTCCACTTGGTAACATGCAGATTTTCCAGATACTCATTTGTGTTCTGAGCCTGGTAGCATAACACCTTATAAGTACATATAGTGACTGTGTTCAAGAGCTGCTGGATTCTGTCTCTTGGCTCCCAGGGAAATGAGACCCACAAAAAAGCAAGCATTACTGACAGCTTTCCCACCACAGCTGCGCTCTTTCAAGTCTTCCAGCTAAACCAGCCAAGCCAGCTTTCATCCCCTTGTCCTTTCCCACTAAAACACAAGTGACTTCTGCATCTTAATAGGCATTTCAGAGCACCAAATGTGAAGAGATTAGCATGAGCAGAGTTGTTCTGTCCTCCCTTCAGTGATGATACGATGACGAGTCAGAAGGGATGTCCTTGTGCCAGCACAGCCTGGTCAGTGCCATGTTCTGTGGTGCAGTGCTAAGGCTGCCTTGGACAGGATGTCCTCCTCATTGGTTGATTCAGAGGCATTTGTCTGAGAAGGGATACCAGAATATGGTGCAATTGGCCAGCTGAGCTATCCCAGGAAAGTCACAGAATGGCCAGGTTGGAAGGGACCCCTCAGGGATCGTGGATCTCCAACCCCTGCCACATGCAGGGCCACCAACCCCCCATTTAATACTAGAACAGGTTGCCCAGGGCCCCATCCAGCCTGGCCTTGAGCACCTCCAGGGATGGATGGGGCATCCACAACCTCTCTGGGCAGCCTGTTTCAACACCTCACCACTCTCATAGTAAAGAATCAGGTTATAGCATGTTCTCATCACAGTCATCCCAGGCTGCAGTTAGCAAAGGCGGTGAGTTTAACAGAGATAAACACACCAGTGTAAATTTACATTAGGTAGATTTTTATGCTTTGTCACTTTTAATTAGCTTCCATCAGTTCAGAGTTGTTGAGAGATGGTTTTGGTGCAGGTAGCTTAGCTTTTGTAACTTTGTGTCCAATGAGCTTATCTTTAATGTTCTGTCCCTTACTGCAGGTGTGCTTGGAATCAAAGTCAAAATTATGTTGCCATGGGACCCAAGTGGAAAGATTGGCCCCAAAAAGCCTCTTCCAGATCATGTCAGCATTGTGGAACCCAAAGAAGAGATCTTGCCCACCACCCCCATTTCAGAGCAGAAAGGTGGCAAACCAGAACAGCCAGCCATGCCGCAGCCAGTTCCCACTGCCTGAGAGGTGAGTGCCTGTGAGCAGCAGGAGTGAACTGTGCATGCAGACTCAGTTGAACTGCACACTGAGCGTGCCCTTCCATGAAGATGTGATGATGAGTCTGAAAGGGAAAGTCCTTGTCCAAGTGCCCTGCTTCTTGCTGTGTTCTACAGCATGGGTCTGGGGAGCTTGGGTCAGAATTTGAGTGACCTAGAGGCATTTGTCTGAGAAGGGCTCAATGCTTGGATGTTTTAATGCTATTTTTCAAGCAGTGGTTGTACTGGTATCCAGTTGAGGTTTGACTCTTAGAAGCCAGTACATCAAGCTTGATGTTAGGCTAGTTTCATTAGTAAATCACCAAGTTTTGAACTCCTGTCTTTCCTGCTGAGTCGCTTCTATAATGAACTGATCAGTGGAAATTCTCTGGGTTGTCACCGATGAAAATGTGCAGCCTGGTGCTTTTGAAAGTTCTGCCTGTTTTCTGTGAGGGGGGCAGCAGGGGGCACAGGGCCTAAAGCCTTTCCCAGAAGGCTTCCTTAGCTGCTAGTGAAAGCCAGCCTGGGTTGTGCTTTGACTGAAACTCCTCACGAGAACAAGAAGGGTTCAGGGGGTGTGCAGGGCTGCAGTGAAACAAGGGGATCTGACTAGCAAGACTTGCTCGTGTAGGGGGAGGTCGTTGGCTAAAATGTAGGAAGTGAGAGATGTAACTGGAACACTTGGAGTTGCCTTGTTCAGCATTTTGGGTAGGAAAATAGCTGTAGGAAATGATTTGCCACCATCTCACTCAGTTTTTTTTATTTGTTGTTTTTTTTTTGTTGTTATTGTAGGGTTTACAACATCTGCAACCAGAAGCTTGACTGTCCTGAAAACATCTCTTAATAAAATCACAAAAGACAGTGTTTGTGGAGGTGCTTTTCTTTTTTGCAAGGTATATTCAGGAAGAGCCTGAATCTTTGGTACGAAGGAATTTCTTTGCATTTCTTACAGCTTGTGTGACCTTCTGGAGTGAACTTAACAGATCCTGATCTAAACAGAGTGGGAACAAGGTGCTAATTTCTAGAGAGAGGTTTGGAGTCCACTGACAATTACATTGCAGTCTTTCTCCAAGGCTTCCAGGAGGGGAGCTTGTTTAGCAATGTCCAAAGCAGTTGCAATCTCTCAGGCTTCACTTGAAGTATTACTGTATTTTCTACTAAATGCTTTTGTCACCTCTGTGTTTCAATTTCCCTTTCTACTGAGAGATGTTTGCTGTGTGGCTTTCAGGGCTATGGAGAAGAGCTTCACATCTCCTGTTAGGAAAAGTAACCTTTGTCCATGGTGATGTGGAACGAGGGCACCAAGTCTACCTGAGTTGAAGATGCATTTGGACCACAGAAATAGGATTGGAGTTTTGAGTGGTTCTTGTGGAGCCCAGAATTGTACTCAGTGGCCCTTTTGTGGGTGCCTTTCAACTCATCGTATTCTGTGATCCTCTGGAACTTTGTGGTAGGCATTCACACGTTACATGAGGAAAAAAAGTACATTTCTTTGTGTGTATGTAGATTTCAGACCTGTCCTAAGCACTTAAATGCACACATATTTAAATGCTTGAGGAAAAACTCATCTTCCTTTGAGGCTTGAATAGACAGTCTCTTAATTGCTCTATTGCAAACTGGCTTTAATGAGCTGTGGGGTTGCATGGATAGATCCTTAAGTTGAGGATTAGATGAGGTAGACAGGGATGTGTTCTCTCTTCTGTTCCACTGCTGTGTGCAGAGTGTTGGTGCTGTTCTTGCCTGCTGTGGTCTGGTGAAAGCCCTGTGGCTGGAGAAGTCAGCATGAGCACTCCATTAACTTTCAGGCTGATATTGAAGTCACTGTGATGCATATCACAAGAGATAATGATGTTCACAAGCTTTTTGTTTGCATTTTGAGCAGTTTGGAACTCATTTGTTTCATTAAGTGAAATTATACAAACCTGCAGGTTTTTTTTTTTCCTTAGGAAGAGTGCCTTTACATCCAGTTTCCCATTTTCTATTGCATTTGGGTCAGGGCAGTTCCAGATAAGTGTACAGACGGGAGGAGAACTCACTAAGAGCAGCCCTACAGAGAAGGATGTGGGGCTCCTGAAAAGCAGGACAGAAGTCAGCAATGTGTGCTCACAACCTGGAAGGCCAGCAGTCCTCTGGGCTGCACCAACAGAGGGGACAGTGGGCGAGGAGGGGACAGTCCCCCTCTGTGTGCCCTTCTGAGGCCCTGTATGGAGCACTGCATTTCAAACCTGGGGCCCCCAGCACAGGAGGGACGTGGGGCTGTGGGTTTAGAGGGCACGGGGATGCTCAAGGATGGAGCACTTCTCCATGGAGACAGGCTGAGGGTGTTCAGCCTGGAGAAGAGAAGGCTTTGGGGGGACGTCCTTGTAGCCTTTCAGTACTTGAGGAGAGCTTTCAAACAGCAGGGAGACTGACTTTTTGCAGGATCTGGTAGGGATAGGACAAGGGTAAAGGGCTTTAAACAAAGAGGGGAAGTTTAAGTTAGATGCCAGGTGGAAATTCTTCTCCTGGGGAGTGATGAGGCTCTGGCACCAACTGGCCAGAGAATCCTGTGGATTCTCTGCTCCTGAAGGCATTCAGGGCCAGGCTGAATGGGAGCCTGAGCAGCCTGATACAGGGGCAGCCAGCCCATGAAAGAGGGCTTTAATGTTCCTTCCAACCCAAGCTATTCTCTGCAGGAAATAGGCAGGCAACTTAAGGACTGGAATTTCATACAGACAGCATCAGGAACTGGTCTGTCTGGCAATGTGTGAGCGTGAGCCTCAGCCTTCCTGTTGCTGGCATCTCTGACAAGGCTCCTGGAAAGCTGGCCTGGCAGAGTGATGCTGGAGATGCTGGCTAGGTTCGGTAGAAACAGCTGTGCTGTCTCAGGGTCCCAGAAAACAAGTCTGATTTCAGGTTCCTGCACACATCTTACAGTGGACAGCTTTACTAGTTAACTGTATCATTAAACTGCAGTCCTCTCAACGATAAAAAACACGTTTGTAACAAGACAGTCTGGGAGTAAGAAAGGCTCAGGAGCTCTGGAAGATCTGAAGTAGCTTTAACTTGCTTGAAATGATGCCGTTGTAGGCTGATGGTGTTGTGAGACTGCCAAGATTGGTGCTGGGGGGGGGATGCTGCAGTTTTCTGCAGTAAAAAAGGCTGTGATCCCTCAAGCACCTGGTCCTTATTCAGGCTCTGGGGATTTGCACACGGATGTGTGCACCTGCCTTTTTTTGGTGGAGGGAAAAGAGAAGATATCTGCAACTCTGCTTGTGGCTGAGTGGCAGATGGTTGCTTGGATAGCCAGCATGTTAATCCCTTTCCAGCAGTGGAAAAACAGGCCAGCAGTGTGAGACCTTGCCAGATTTTCTAAGGCTTAGCTTTGTGTTGACTGAAGCGACAGGTTCTTGCTTTTTTCTCCATTTCCTTTGACTGTATCTCAGCCAAAGAAGCTTTCAGTTGAGCAGTCAGCAAGGCTATCTAACAGATATTTGCTGCCCAGTTGAATGTCACAGCAGGGAAGGGCAGCAGGTCCTCCTGTCTGTGCAGTGTTAAAGATGCTCGACACTTGCAAGTTTGCATACTTAGTAACAGAGCTCCTTTCCTATGACACAGACGTCATGGGAATTCGATGTGCACACGCAGCATTGGTCTATAAATTCCAGATTAAGGCATGCTAGATTTAATAACGCCAAGGAATGTCTGGAAGTGCTTTTTTTAAACACAGTATTTTGTCTCCTGCCAAGCCTTGCAAGTCGGTCTGGCTGCCCAGGGGTTCACTGGAAAAGTTTTATTTCAAAATTATACAACGGTCATCGTGTGGTACAGGGACAAGAGAAGCCATAGGCCAACTGCATCCAAACGATGCGAGTTACCCTATCTGCTGCTTTGCCCGCCCCTTCTCTCCCTGCCCCCCCCCCCCCCATCTTCCATAACGTGGTACAGCATATGGGTTTCAGTGCGCTGATTCGTCAGGTTGTGCAGCATACACGCCGGGTTTGAGGCTTCCTCTGCATTTGGGTACAGCCTTGTGGGTTCCCTCCTCTGCCCAACAGTCAGGAAAGCACCTGGGAGTACGAACTAGGAAGAAACTGAGGACAAGCCCTCCCTGCATGGCTGGCTTGGATGAGACTTAGGGCAGACCTGCTTTTCTGCAACTGTCAAACTTGCAAATCTGGAGAAGGTGCAGACAGGTTAAACTTGGAGTTGCAAGTTGAGTTTTTTGCTGTATGAGATCTCTGGTAAGATGCAAGAAGTAACAACTTGTTAGTTGTTAATAAATAAGTGGAAACAGTCACATGGGTGCTCTGAAAAAAGTGCAGTATTGGGCTTGTATGACAGCAAATGCATTGGCAGGAAAATACAAAGGAAAGCAATGCAGTCACGCTGTCTCTGCTCGTTCCAAGTAACTGCTGCTAACGTGACACCCCAGATTTCTCTTATTTCAATAGTCTTGTCATGTCTTGCTTTGCAGTGTGTCTCAGTGCACAGCAAGGCTTGTCTGACACATGCTTCAACGCTCTTGGGGTTGCATCAGTTCTTTTAAGTAGGATTAACCTGACAGTGTCCTTTAATCTGAGGAAGGTGGGATAAACCTCCAAGTTTAGGCTGGAGCAGGCTATGAAACTTGCTAATTATCAGACATAAATACGTACACAATTATAAATACATTTGTTTTTCAGTGTGCCCTTATCCAGGTCAGCCAGCAGGGAGCTAGAGGAGCTGCAGAAAAGGGACATTAAGGAGTCAGGTAAAGGAAATTAAAGCTTTATATTGAGGCAAGTGGAAGTGAGCCTTGGTCCACCTCCCTGCTAGAGGCCAGCAGGAGTCCCCTGGTCTGGTACAGAAGCTGATGGGGTATCAGCCCTGCCTCTGACTTGGGGAACCTTCACAGTGTAAACTCTTTCACAGTCCTGTGTGCTGATGCAGGAGCACCAGAAGTTTCTCCGTTTGCCTGGTTTGTTTAATTGGAGTTGTCAGCCCAAAAGTCTCCTTATAATTCTGAGAGCCACATAAATAATTCCACAGGTGTCTGTACAAGCCTGCCTCTTTGGCCTCTCTGCTGACATCTCAAAGCCACCTATTTTGCAGAACGTAGACCAAGGCTGCACCTGGCTTTGCAGTATTCTAGCTAAGGACTGACGGCTGGCTGCTGGGGAAGCATCTATCAGCCATCCAGAGCAGGGTGAGGCAGGACAGAAGGACACAACAGCACGGGATTTCAGCTCCTGCTTGTTGTCAGTGTCCTGTTCTGCTCCCAGTGGTACACTTGGGGCTGAAGCACAGAACCTGCTCTGGTTGTTCTGTTTTGTACCACTTGAGCTCAGCATACCTGTGCCTTCTGCCACAAGCAAGAAGCAACTGCAGAGGAATCAGAGCAGCTTTAGCATGGTGCTGCATGGCACCAAAGCAAGCGAAAAGCAGGCAGAACTAAAGGTGCAGAAGCATTAGAGATGGAAAGGTAGAGAGCTTGTGCCTTTGCAGGGCTGATGCAAGGTACTTAAGCAGGTGCAGGGAGGACCGAGGCGTAAGCCCAAACATCTCAACTGAAGTGCTGAGACAACACATGGCAGTTCCTGTCCACTTGGTTTCTTACTGTGCCAGGCTCCCCTGTTCTCTGGAGGTGGGTTTGTGCAATGGATTTTGTATTTAGGGGTGAGGTAAAGTGTATGCTGGTTTCTCATCACAATGCACCCTGGTCTGAATAGCACCCATAGTTCGAGAAGGATACAAAATAGTGTTTCCCCTTTTTTGAAATCCCCCCCTAAAAAACACGCAAACCAAAACAAGCTCTGGAAAAAAAAAACTACAACTCATCACGCATCTTGTCTCCTTTGGGCCTGACGAGCCTGCCAATGAAGAGAATGGAGTTGGTTTTG